TTAGCGATTATAACTTTTAAGTAAAGTATAAATAGGTATTGGATAAACTTGCACCACGTTAAAATCGTTAAAATGGTTAAAATGGTTAAATAACACTACTGATCGTGTTCGAGATTGGAGTCCAAACAAAAAATGCAAAATATTTTCTATTGGCCTTTGTTTTGGAGATATCAAGACAAGTTGCTTTTTGAACTTATAATGTTTGTCTATAAAATTAATAGTAAGTCATGGAAATTGCTTTAAAACAACATTTTTAGTATTGCTCTTAAAAATACAAACTTTATCATAAATGCATAGAAAATTTACAAGACTAAATGAATACTGTAGGTACATACAATTTAAAATGAACAAGATTTTTGAGTTTACAATTTAGTTGTTTTACATTGTAGGAATTTGAGTGTAATCGTTGCAGTGCAAATAAAGTTTTGCATATAGCCTTTTATTTTTGAAACCTTAAATTATATTTTTTTAATTTGGAGATCCATTTTATAGCAGTAGTAATAGATATTTAACTCAATATTTATGAAATAATAGCACTTCTCTGCTTCTTGTTTTTATTTATTTATTTTAAAAACCCGACTAGTTTCGGTTATTATTAACCATCTTCAGGGGTCTCTTAAATTATATATTTCGTAAGTTTAAACCTGGATATTCCTAAAACTAATAGGCCGATCAGGAAAAATATTTTGAATGTTATAAAGTTATAAAGTGCTCTTTTAGTTCCACCCTTACATCCAAACTAAGATGTCCCATAAGCCAACTGAATGGCTTGTGCGGGTTAGGGGTAGGAACGGACCGACGGCTTAAAGTCCCCTCCGAAGGACTATGTTTTGCTTAGAATCCAATCACCTACACGTCGTCTGGTATAAATCACCCTGTATTGTTACATCTAAATTATTTGTTTACAGTGTAAAAATAATTTTGGAATTAGAAATTTTTCAAAATATTTATAACCAGCTAATCCTGAGACATGTTACAATATAGAAGACATTTTTGTGGAAAATTTTACGTTTTCAAAAAAAATGTTTTTAATCTTTTTTCGTAAAACCACCAATTTAAATAATATCGTAAGTAAATGTTTGAAATATATAAAATAAAAATCTTTTTTTTTCTGAAGTTGTCTTTAGTTTTTCCTTTTTTTACTTGGATATCATCTAAATTATTTGTTTAAGGTTTAAAAACAATAAAAAAAAATGTCGTTCTGCGATAATACTTTAAATTTATACTTTTTAGCATATTAAAATTCATAACTCACTTATAAATTGAAATAACACAATTCACAGGACAAATTTTTGTAGAATGTTTTATGCTCTACAAAAAAGGTGTTTTAATTTTTTTGTCAATAATAATAATAATAATAATAATAATAAACTTTATTAGCCCAACAGGGTTTCCCCCAATTATAGGACAAAATACATGGTAGGTAAATATTCCAAATTTTACATTGTATATATATACAAATTTATACACAAATAAATGACTATTTAAATATATCGCATATCGAGTTTTTGCATATCACGTTGATTGGAGCTCGATTCATCAAATTTGTTCTTGAAGTTGGAAGTTTAAACGTATTGAATGATCTTGAGTTAATTCTAGGTACGTTGATGTTTAATTTGGACAGAAGATATGCACAGTCGATTTGGTTGTGTAGAAGTTTTCTAAGAAAGTTGGTGTTCTGTATTTGGCGTCTTGTTTTTAAATCTTTTATGTTTAGATGAAGAGAGAGATCGTCCAAACAAGCACCTCTATCAGGGTATGTTCCATATAATCTAAACGACATATATTTTAGGAATCTGCGTTGTATACGATCCAATTCAAGAATATGACAAGTATAATAAGGATTTCAAATAAGGCTTGCATAATCTAATTTACTAATTACAAACGAAAAGTATAACATTTTTATTATACTTAAATCAGTGAACTCCTTGGAGGATCTGATGATAAATCCAAGCATTTTACCAGCCGATGAACATACGCTATTTAGATGTGGTATAAAACTAAAACCAATATCAAAAGTAACTCCTAAATCCTTAATTAAATATGTTCTTTGTAATTTGACATTGTTTACAGCATACGTTGCTAAAATTGCAAATTTCTTTTTGGTATATGTTGCAATAAAGCATTTATCAACATTTAACTTAAGTTGATTCAAACGACACCAATTTGCTATGAAGGTTAAATTATTTTGAAGTATCTTAACATCATCAGGATGTTTAATAATTGAGTATATCTTTATGTCGTCGGCATAAGCAAGAGCGGGGCAAGTTAGGTTCAGAAGAAGTTAAATAGAAGGGGCCCTAAATTGGACCCCTGTGGAACACCAGATGACATATTATAAATATTGGAAGAAAACTTTTTGTAATATACATAATTTTTGCGATTTTTTAAATATGATGCCATAAGTCTTACTAAATTAGGGGAAAAATTAAGATTAGATAACTTATCCGTCAAACCATACATTTAAATGATATCGGAGATCACAGTTTAAAATATATAAAATAATTTTAAATTAAAACTATCTACCATCATTTAGGATGACTCAAATTAAGTTGAATTTTTTTTTAATTGTACTGTACTGTATACAGTATATAAATAATAAATAAATAATTTAGATGATACCCCAGGTCACATATCCCTAGGAATTATTAATTTAGAAAAAAAAGATATTGACCATACTTTTTAATTTAATTTATTTTAGTTTTTGACCTTTGATATCATGTGGATGGTTTTACAAATTAAGCACAAAATAACTTTTAGGTGGTTCGTAAAATTTCCTACAAAAATATGTCTTATAATATAAGACATATATTAAACGATATCGGAGTTTTTTGGTTTTAAATTTTTTTTTAGACTAGACAAATAATTTAGATGGAACTCAAATAAAAAACAACAACTTGGAAGCCCTTGGATACCCTAAGTTTTAAAATTTTGAATTTTTTAGCATAAAATATTCCGCTATAAAGAATAAAAAGTTTTTATATTTTTTAACATTTTGAAAACTAAAACTTTTCTAAGAAGAAGTTCTATACCCAATAAATATTATTCTTATCCATTTTTAATTCAATATTGCACAACAAGCAAGGTTAAGTGTGTACTCACAACTCATTATTGAATATGACAGTTCTATAGAATATTATAATAAAAAATTTTAATGTGGAATTACTTATACATAAATTATAAATTTTAATGTGGAATTACTTATACTACATAAGGTATTATAAAATATTCATTTTATCAGCGGTTTCAATTATAGAATAATTTATAGACTAATCGGGTAGCTGCAAACTAGCCAATTCCAAAATCATCATAGTCGCCCACCACCATTAAATCGGCCAGACCGATCTTACCTCATTTCCTCTCCAAGTTATTTCTTTAGAGTATTTTTATAAGCGTAGAAAAAGTATAGACTAAACAAGTTTTGAATTGCATATTCCGCTCTAGTGAAATTGTCTCACTCGCCTTCGGGTCGCGTAACAAACTTGTTTAAGAATATAATACTATAGATGGATTAAAAAATGACAATTCCGAAAGTACTAATACATAAATATCTTGGGACTAACATCATTTCATTAACCTATATTTTGATAAAAACGCTATAGCGTTATAATTATAATTCTAGTTTTAAAAAAGTATTTTTCAAATATTTTATTATAATACATTTATGGAAAATGTGTATTTATTTGATATCCATTGAATTCTGTTAAATTATAACACTTTTCTTTTTTACTTTTACTAGTTATTTAAATATGTTTTTCTACTCCCACCTTTAAAACGCCCTTTATCGTACATATTTCTATGACACAGTGACCTTTTAAATACACATTGACAAGTTGTGGCTTTACGGCGCTTTAGTCACGGGCTGAAGTTAGCAACAGGTTTTTAGTCACGGGCTGAAGTTAGTTTTAAGTTAGTTGACAGTTGTCAAATGTCATACAATCGTTAAAATAAAGTGCCTTTCTTGTAAAATAATACTAAATGTGAAAATTATTTTATTATCTCAATACAAAAATATTAAATAGTTTCTCAACGCCAATATTTGAAAAGTTTATATGAACATTGTACTGAACTTAAATTCGGGCACGGACTCTACTGTAAAGTCCTTATAAAACATTTCCTTTACTTTCACTGTGAAAAACTGTCAATTTTCAATATACATTTCGATTTATAACCTTTATAGTTGTGTTTATAAAATGTAAAAATGTGACATTTGACAGTTTCCCCTGTTGTTTCATAGATGGCGCTCTATACAAATTTTTGATTTAAATCATTTTAAGATAATAATAAGTATTTGTCGTAGAAAAAGTATAGTATGCACCTCGTTTATAAACTTTTCTATACACACATTAATTTAAGAACTCGCTCGCAAGCTCGCTCGTGCCTAAATTAAATTCGTGTATAAAATGGCGTTTATCAAACTTGATACATAATATACCATTTTCTATAATGGAATAACACGTTTTAATGTGGATTTCGTAAATTGTTACAGAAGTTAAGACCGATCCAACCAACCAATAACCGCCTCAATTATTTTTCTATGGTATTATTTGAGGATCCTAAAAGCCAAGGGGTATAAGTACATTTTGTTTAGTTTTGAGATAATCATGTTTAAAGTAAAAAAACACTTGTAATATGTCAAAATTGTTTGTTGTTTTATGACTTGGTTTTTCAACAAGTCTAAGCTTAGAATTCAGTTATATTCTTTGGATACCAAGTAAAATGTACCATTTACTATCTTTTTCTATACATAATCAAATGTTTTTTTTAAATGTCACTTGTATCCCTTGGCTTCTAGGGTCCTCATTTGGAAACGTAGAAAAAGTATAGTCTGAAAACAATTTGGAATTAAATATTAGGCCAAACCGCCAAACTTGCTTTTGGCATTTTATTTTTTAAATAAAAATCTGTTATTTTACTTTGAGTAATAAAATGTGTTAAAACCTTTCGTTTCAAGTTATAAAAACTCCAGGATGCTGAAAAAACTACAAAAATCTACTTACGATAAAGTTTTATTGTTCCGTCGGTCTCACCAAGCGAATTTTTCGACACACATTTGTAGGAACCGTAATCACTTGGTGTAATAACTTTTATTGTTAATTTCATATGAACTTTATAGGCATTATCTACTATACTCGGCTCATACTTGGCACCTGGAATAAACAAAATGATGTTAAATTGGATGAAGGTTGCCTTCATTAAATTGTTTGATACAAAATTGTATCAAAATTTACCAGTTCACGTGTAAGTAAGTAATCAAGTATTTATATGTAAGCCGGAGAGAAAATAGTGGGAATATAAAAATCACGGACTCAAAAAATTGTAAATTCATGAGGCGTTGGCCGGCCAATCTTGTAAAGTCCCGGCCATTACGTAGCAATCATAGAATCGGCCTCACGGATTTAAAGCGGGCCCGTCTGAGCTTTAAACCCTTTTAAATTATTCATTACTTTTAGTTTACATTTTAGTATATGGTTATAATGTAATAAAATAAAAATAAGGCTACGGACGGCTTAAAACAGGAGCTTTAAAATAAAATATTGCCAGCTACCTAATATATTTTTTATCCTTAAAGTCAGTCTAAAAACACAATAATTATTTTAAATTCTTAAAGCAATTTATTTCAGCTCATCTGAATATTTATTGACCTACACTAATTTTGTTTTGCACTAGTAGAATAAATTTTATTTTTAAATTATATTTACCTGCTCAGATATCTTGTAAAAGTTTGGCAATAAACAAGAATATATGTTATCAATAAAGTTTGCCTAAACGGGATCTAAATCAATGTTAAATATACAAGTTGAGAACTTTCAAACATGAATTACCATGCCTAACCTCGTATGTAATCTTACATTAAAACTTCAAGATTTATAGCGGATGTATTAGCATTTTTACTTTATGTTTTTAAAAAGAATATTACCTTTTAACATATTAAATATAACCTCCCCTTTTAAATCAAATATGTCTTACAAATTACGGTGATACATCCTGCTTTACACAAGCCCGTATTAAGCTTTTCAACGACAAACGAGACCTGTTGAACTTGTCTACTGATTTTTAGCTCAACTTAAACGTTTATTATTACTATTTACTTTAAATAATCCTAATTTAATATTCTATAGTACTTTTTTTGTTTATATAAAACATCCTATCTGACAAATTAAATTAATACCAATTAAATTGATAAGACAACAAGTATCCAGACCCACGTCAATGTTTCGTTATGTTTTATCGAAAACATTTAAAGTATTTATAACCAAGGCAGCGGACCCTTATCAAATTGTAATTTGGACGTTTATAAAAATTGATCTGTATTTCGTTGGAAAACAAGTTGAAAACTAAAATGTTTTTCTTTTAAAATTAAATATAATAATTTTGCTTCTACAGATAAACTTAGTTACACGTACACAAGCAAATATATAAGTGTGTCATTATAACAAAGTGTCATAACATTATTCAGGTGTTAAATAGAAGATAATAAGTTAGTTTAGCAGCGTAGGTAATGTTTAAGTAAACATATGCAAGCATGAATAATAGCGGAACAACTAATTCCCTGCATAAACCGATTTTCTTAGAACAAACATAGTTTAGCTTGAGTTTAATTTTACTCTCACTTGAGACTTTCACTTTTATTAAGGAAAAAATTGTTGGTAAACTTGTTTGATATTTATTTTAAGAAAGTTGTTAGTTTGCGGGAAAAAAAACACCCTGGAGGGCTAAAAGGCAATATTAATCATATGATAAATTACCTTGTGAGATAATGTGGCCATCATCTTTGGTCCAGTAATTAATGGATTTCGGATAGGCCTCCGAGTGGCACTCCAAAGTTATTTGTTGACCCTCCATCGCTCCCACCAGCTGGTTCTGAATCCATATCATTGGGGGAACTAAAAAAATATACGAATATATTTATTATAAAACACTGTTGGACTATCAAAAAGTATAATTTCAATTTGACAATCTACTTTTAAATTTTATAAATAATACTTACAATGGACGATAAGCATGATCCTTTTACTGACGCTAGGGGGTATCCCATTAGATGCAATACATAAATAAGGACCCATATGCAATCGATTCACTTTGCTAATGTTAAATATCATTCCATCCACACTAGGAACTAAAAAAAAATGTATCTTTAGATAAATTACAAAGGTTAGCCTTATGTAGAATATTGACACCAAACAAAACAAAACAATTGATTTTCGCCTTAATTCATTCGAGTGGAAGTTGCGATAAACTTTAATTGAAGTTACATTAAGATCTTTATCTATGTTTCTAATGGAGTCGTACCATAAAATATGATTTAGGAATATAATTAGGTCATCTCCAATGCTTGAAATTCTATGCTACCAAAGATGCAGATATTAAACAGAATGGATTTGTATAGTTTTATTTTTTAGGTGCATTTCATTTTTATTTAATCCATATTTTTGATTTTAGGTTTTCGTACGGCGTACATTTGCTGTTGATTTTCATAGAATATCGTGAATACGCGCTTTGAATTTCAATTCAGCCTTAAAAGTTGCGAATTTCAAATTCAATACCTTACGACTGAAGATTACTGTATAATTTTCCCAACGATCAAAAATTAATATTATTATAGTAAAATATATTAGCATATCCGAAGGTGTACGTAGGTACGTTTATTTTAAATATAATTTGTAAAAAAATGTAAACTGACTGTTTACAAAAAAAAAGTTTTACAAAAATACGTAAATAAGTAATAAGTAAAAATCGCCTACAAATTAACAGCTAAGAATAACAATCACAATGGTAGTCATGCCCAACGCGTCGCTAAGAGAAATTTCTTATTGATTGGGATTTTTCCTTATTAATAACGAATGATAAAAAAAATCAAACACAACTCTGATTTTAAAGTGGTTTATCGCTCCTAATAAGCAATGTTATAGTTAGATTTTGTATTGTTAATTGTGTATCGATTAGAAAATAAAATTGTTCTCGTGGCTGGCTGAACTAATATGCGACGAAGCTCATATTTTTGTCAATGGTTTTTGTATAGAATTGTTAAGATAAGTTTTATATTGTAAAGAATTGTTTGAACTATGTTCTATGGAGATACTGTTCCAGACAAAACGTCGCGACGCGTCGAAATCTCACATTGAATACTTTCAAAAGTCACCACTGGAAGTTTTTCACATTTACTGTAAAAGACACTCTCCACACTGCAGTGGTCTTTTAACCTGTTTTTCAATTGTTTGAATAACACCAGTTTTTCAACCCGTATTAGTGACGGTACCATCACACCACGGCGTTCTCTATCCACTACCACACTCTCGCCTGGGTTGTATAATTTAGTAGTTAGAGAACGCCGTGATCACACCCAATTACGTCCAGTTCGTCTGATGAAAAGCCGGCGTCTCTTAAATGAGAAGTTATACTATAGTATATATTGGCGATGAAATAGAAGCAGGTTCTTGTATAATTTAGTAGTTTTCTTCTTTTATGGTTCTTCGAAAATGTTTTTGGATAACTTTTTCAATAACAAAAGTGTTATCCTTTCTCCCATCAAAGTAAAGTCCTTTATTAGGCTGTGCTCTTTTATGCTCTCATTTTGAAGTTCTGTGCGATAGACATTTTTTATCCTTTATTTTTGTCAATATCATGAGAATGATCATCATCAGTTACGATTCCAACATCTTGTAAGACACTGTTGCCCTATCTGATACTCCAAACCGATCACTTATCAATGCGGTATTTTTCAATTTAATTCGCATCTGCCATAATGACTTAACTTTAGGCTTAGGTTCTTCGTAATTCTCATCGTTATCACTATCAACTGTTTCGGACGAACTACAGTCTTTAGGTGGTGGGAGTATTTCTATACTTTCTGTGCATGATGATGTGATTTAATTATTTTATGTTCGACTAACTTTCTTTTACGTCCCTGGGTAATTTTTGTTGTTACCTTTCCTTCCAAAATTACAATTTAACCTTTTATTTAAAATTATAAGTTATAATGTCCTACACATTGAAAGAGAAAATTGACATGATAAGCTGGTCTTTAGTGTACAATTCTCTACGTCACACAAGAGACCTATTCTCAGTTAAATATCGGAATAGTTCTATTCCGTCAATTAGAACAATAACAAACGTTATCCAACAGTTTAGAACAATTGGTTGTATTTTGGGGTGTAAATGAAAATAAGCTTTGAATAAATTATTCAAAGCTTGTGTTCAAATAATTAGGCCAAAATTTCTTTGAAAATAAAAAAAATTTAGTTCAATGCTTGGTATCTGTTTTTATATTTTACACTTACAGAAAATGGATACAGGACAATCACATACCTCAGGGGACTTTTGCCAGTTGCAGGTTAATGTTATTTTACACTTACATGCGGACATATCAAACAATAACAAAGCCTTTTTCTTTGTTTTGTCACTAACGGTGGCTATCATGGTAAGCATTAACTAATTGAACAATTCTATAAAGCGTTACTGTTGGTATTAAAGACTTATCAAAGACAGCTTTATATGGGCGCCACAATATTCGAAATGTAAGAAAAACTAAAAGGCCTTTTAGTTTTCAATGCTAATTTATATTGTTCGTAAAAACAGCACCTAAGAACGTCTTCATATGTTGGCAGTTTACTCTCAGACAACTCCTTCGGATTACGCAAACAAAACTTTTATAAACTTAAACACAATAAACCAATAAACGCAATCAAAACTTTTATAAACCTAACCACAATAAACTATCGAAACTCACAGGACATCAAAACGTTACGAACAGAAACTGCCGAGTTACAGACCACTTTTTGTCAAAAATAACACAATCAGCAATAATTAAATAACGTCAAATGCGTAATTATTGTGATTAAGGTAAACTCAAACAATAGTTATTTGTTTTACAAGTGTTAAAAAGCGACTTTTTCATGTGAGTGTTTAAGTTGCTCACGAGCCCGTCAGGCCGAGTGTGCATTAACACGAGCTTGAAGAAAGCTTTTCTTACAAGTGAAACACAATGTTTTTTGTTCGACCTTTTTAATTTTTATTATATATTCAGATACAAAACAAAACAAAGGCACTAAAATTAGAGTTTATTTTACAAACACAATTAATTGTGTTCTAAATGATATTTAAACATATACAAATACAATACAAATTTTGAACCGAATGTCACGATGATGTCAATTTCTTTTCATACAGACCTGTTACTTTTCACTCAGAAATGTCACTTTACATTCGTGTTTGAAAAGATTCATTTTCTAAGCAACGATGCCAATACGAAATGTGACTTTTACATAGAGGTCGTAGAAAAAATCTATTATTCTACTATAGCTAACATGCGCTTTAAATGCTGTAAATTTAGATTTTTTGAGTCCTTCGCGTTACTGTAAATATTATTAATAATATTTTTTTACTGTTTCAATATTTGTAGGTGTTCTTTAACCTTTCTTTCAAAGTATTTTTACTATAGCAGTTTAATATATAATTGGTTAAGTACTAAAACAAATCTTGCAAAATCGTTTGATTTCAAAATTTCAAAATTTAAAGTGCAATGCGCTAGCTGGGGACCCATTTTTTAAATTTTTTTTATTTATATACTTATCTATCTTAGAAGAAAATTTTCCGCGGTATGACGTTTAAAAAAAACATTTTTTTTTCGCCCCACCCCACATGAATAAATGTATATAGTGTATATAGGTAAAAGTATATGTATACAACCAATAAATTTGTTTTTATTGTGTTTTTGTTTATTTAAATACTTTTAGGAAATTATATATAGGTAAATAATATGATAAGGAGGAGTGGGGGGTAACTCCGACAGGTATTTTTAACCTGCCCTCACTCTTTTCCTACCCATAAATCAGGGATAGCAAAAAAGTTAACAAAAAATTATTTTATAAACCAATAAAATTAGTGGCGGCTCTTCAAAGGGGACAGGAAAGGCTTAACCATGGCTAAGCCTTTCCTACCTCCTCCGAGGTTATGATCATTTTTGGAATCATGATTTGAAATTTTAGGATTCATCTTAAAATTTTTAATCATGATTCCAAACATGATCATAACTTTGCTCAATTAGCTCTTGTTTTTTTGCGATATTTGCGAACATTAAAATTCGTATGAATATGTTTTTAGTTAAATACTTTGTCCAAGGATCATTAATAATAAAGCGGTGGATTATAATTAAAATTAAAATATTAAATTAAACATATCTATAACGTTATTTCCTTTATACATTTAATATAAAACCTTTTGTTTGATTTAAATCAACAATATCTAAGAAAGTGGAAAATCAGATAAAATGAAATGTTTCAGTTGTTAATTAATAGACAAAATACAAAGAGAATGCAATGATTTGCATTAAACAATGGTCCAATTAGGGAAACTCAGATGAAAGGGCTTTATATTAGTTACTCTGTAGTTTTAATGATAAAACTTGAAATAATTATGATTTTATATTTAATTTGAGTCTAATTTTAATGGGATAAAATAATAAAAATAGGATATAGATTTAAATAAGAAACATATTTTTATGAACAAATGGTTCATGACAATATGTTCTAACGTTGTTAACGATGTGCATAACAAACGTCCAATGTAGGACCCCTTTTTTTAAGTTTTGGGCTCTATCTCACCAATAACGTTTGTTTTTTTAATTATTTGTAAAAAATCAATAATTTTTATAGTTTTAAAAATCCTCAATGCAATTTGAGTTATGTTAGTTACCAATTTGGGGTTGATTATAATTTATTATAATTGATTATAATTGTATACAATGATCGACAAGATAAAATTTTTGTTTGCCACAAAGGAGCCAAAAAACTTTTCTAGAATAATGGGGGTGCGCTGATTACAAATATAACCAACATTTTGCTCAATAAGCGTTTGTTTTAGAGATATTTTGAAAAAACAAAAAAAAATCAAAGTTTAAATTCAAGTGCTAAGTGATAATTGTTATTCTGAGCGAGAAGTTTGAAGCGTTACGCGTAGCGGAGCGAGGCTATCTTGCGAGAGCGGCAATGTCACTTTGCGCTTGAATTACACACAGGTTTTTTTAAACAACCGGTGGTTTTATGAAAATGTTTGGTAAAAATTAATCATATAATATATCAGAACTATGAATTTAAACTATGCTCAGTAGTTTGTTGGTTT